ACTAATGTCTATGTAAATTTGATTTCTCATTATTCTCTTTGTCATTGTAAAATGTGCAATTCTCTTTTTGTAACAATAATATACTCATATATCATATTGAATCATTAATTTATTTTTATTATATTACATTAAATGGATATATTAAATATTATTTTATTTTTATATTATATTCAAATTTATGATAATAACTTGAAAATTATAAAAATTACAAAAACATGTATTTTTATTATTATTTATTTTTTTAATTTTAACAATGACTTGAAAAATAGAATTGTAATATACAAAGTATATTTTTTTTTACCTTTTAAAATTTTAAAAGAAAAATATATTCAAAATATAATTTAGATAAATACATAAAATTTACAATATCTAATATAATATAAATTATAATTATTTATTTCTAAATAATAATAATTATATATATATATAAGTATCTATAATAATTCTTATTTATTATAGTTATTTAAACAATATTTTTTAAATCCTTCTTTCTTAAGTCTATGATTTTTAGATTAGACTCATAATTTTTTTTATTAAAATTGATGTTCAAGATTTTTTTTATGCCTTATAGTATACTAAGGTGATATATATATATATATATATATATATATATATATATATATATTTATTTATTTATTTATTTATTTATTTATTTATTTTAAGTCTATTTTATATTTTTAAATTATGTAATTTTTAAAAATCTATATTATTTTAATTTTTTTACATATTTTGATTTAATGCATCAAAATTCACATATATGAAATATTGTGGTATTCAATATTTTTTTTATTGTTTTAATGTAAACTTTACTTGATATAAAATAAATGTATATTTTTTATGACATTAATTATAATTTTGTATTATTATAATTTTAATATAACAAGAGACTTCGAATCTAATTTATTACATAATTTTGGATTTTTAGATGATTTTATTGTTTGTTATGTAGATAATATTTTAATATATTCTAAAAACGTAGAAAAGCATGAACTTTATGTTTGTCTTGTGTTTCATAAACTTAGAAATGTAGGATTATTTTCCAAAATAAAAAAGTGCATCCTTAATACTACTCTAGTTGACTTCTTATGATATATCATTTAAAATGATGGCCTTATTATGGATCCTAAAAATTTTCAGACTATCTTAAATTAGATGATTGTAAGATCAATAGAAAATATCAATTTTTTTTCTCAAATTACAATTCCACTTACATATTTAACATATAAAGACAAATTTGAGTACAATAAAGAAACTAAGCGAGCATTTAAAGCTTTAAAGATTTATATTCTATATCACTTATCAGCTAAAAAAACAAGAAGATTCATCAAATATTATTTCTAAATATTTTTATTTTATGCCAAAAGAAGAAGATGCAACTTTTCATCAACAACAAATTATTATTTTGAAGCTAATGCAATTTTTTCTTTGAGCAATAAAATCAATGTTAATTGTTGATTCAAGCTTATTTTATCAAGTCCAATCAAATATGTCTTTAAATTCTCTTATTCATGCATCACAAACATACATAATTATTTAGATAAGAATTGTTAAGTAAAAAATAAATATAAATAGATTTGATAATATCATGTCAAGAAGCTTCTTAGATGCAAATTTGACTTTATATATATTTGTAGTTTATTAATAGGTTGAACATTTTGCGAATAAGTTGGCTACATGTTGATGACTTGTGATATAAGTTGGTCATGTGGTACACATATATAAAACTTGACTTGCAAGTTGGACACATGTTGGAGGTCTTATACAACATTGTTACATAGCTACTAGTTAGATAGTATACATGGAAGCAAGAATGAAGTCTTCTTCACTCTTAGCAACATCTTTCTTATCCTTAATCTTATTTTAAGAACCTCTAATTTTCTTCTCTTTGGCAATACTTATGAAGGCCTCAATAATAATCAAATATCATGGTGGTCTTCTTACCTTGGTATGGGATACTATTAATGGCTAAAAGAACCTATTAACTACCTTAAAAGGAAACAAAGATCAAAATATACGGTAAATATATTTTGTTGCATTTTGGGTTTCTTCAACATGTGATCATTGCTCCTTATAGAATTCATCCCTAAAAAAAGAGGTAATATCATTGATATATATATATATATATATATATATATATATTTATATACTTTAATAATTATTTAGATAATATGAATAGATAGAAATAAGTAAAAATAATTAAATTTGATAATATCTTAATAATAATCTCAAATTTGCCTTTATATGTGTTTATAGGTGATTTGTAGGATGAAAACTTTGCTACCAAGTAGGCCACGTGTCACATATATAGGCTACTTGTGGTATAAGTTGGACCTAAGATGCATCTATAAGAAACTTGGCTTGCAAATTAGATATGTGTCTTATAAGTTGGACATATATTGAAGGTCTTATAGAATGCCACCACATAACTCCTAATTAGATAGTATATATAGAAATAAAAGTGAGACCTTTTTTACTCTTATCAAAAAAGAAATTGCTTCTAATCTAAATTCAAATATTTTTACCTTCAAGATTTTTTAATTTCTATCTTTGATAATAGCAATTTAGTTTTTTCTTGCATCTATATTTTTATTTTTTTATTTTTTTGTCATCTCTCTTTGAAAAATGTCTCACTTTATCATTTACATTCTTTAAGTTCTTATCTTTGACACATGGTTGGAAGACAGTATGTTGATAAAAATTATATGATATTTTTAAATAATCATTATAAAATTTAAAAACCTGTACAAAATAAGTATTCAATAAAAAAAAAACTTCATTAATAAGGATTTAATAGCATAAAGATAATAAATCATAATAAAAATAGCAATCATAAATATTTTTATAATAATATTATCAAATGCACAAATTTATTTATTAAAACAAAACATAAAACATAAAATTAAAAGAATACCCAACTTCAATACTACAAATACTATAATATAAATTATTTCACTTCTAAACATTTCTAACAAAATCTTACAATAAATTCATGTATACAACATACTTTTGAAGTTGATACTTATTTTCTAAGTCTAACATTATTTCCACCTATTTTGAGTATATCACATTTTAAAATTATTTTATTGACTTATACTTTTAATTTTACTTTATTATTTATTCAAACTCTTAGCATAATATTACTTCATCATATATTTAGTTGCTAATCTATAATAAATCACCTAAAACAACATTTACATCTCTCTTAGCTTCAAAACTAGTACCATAAAATAAAAACTTACTATTCTACATAGGCTTTCAATCAAGCCTTGTACAAATTCACAATACCTAAAAAATAACTCTATTGAGTCTAATTTGGCATTACTTAATTGATTTGTTGAAAAGTTCATCTTAATACCATATGATCACACCCATATCATTTTATATAAATATTCAACCACTTCTTTTCCTAATCAATCCAATATTGCTTCTACTAATATTGGGACATTGGTATTGATCTAAGAATTCCTCACATCTTTGTATACATGAAAAAGATATCTTCCATAGATTTCACTACACGTTTGATTACCGTTTGACAATACTTTCCCATGTAATCTAACCATATCCTTGACATTTTTGACAAATAATACTTTTCCATTTTGGAAGACCTCCACCTTGAAGTGCATAGAGCGGCTGCTTTGATCACATTACATTGGTTTATGGCTGTACCAAATGGACACAGCAAATGTACTGGCATGAAACCAGTCAGCCATAAGACAGATCGTTCAATTTCGCCACAACTGCTAATAATCTATTTACATCTCCCTTCCCACTGCCTAGACTTGTCATAACATTCTAATAGTGCTTCTTCATTGAAGCCCAAATTGTTGGCCATTACATGCGCATGCTTAATTTCTGGTTTCAGTTCAGAACCCACTACTTTTCCATGCAACTGCAATGAGTGCCCAAACTACCAAAACATTTGATAACTACTGCACATAATTCCGCACTTACTGTGCGACATTCTAAACAGTCAACGTGGTCATGTTCCATTTTCAGATTGACCTCTGTTTACAACACATATTTCATCATCACATTTCTGAACATCAACGAATACTACTTCAATCCTCCCAATTTCACCATCAGCGAATGTCACCTACTGCTTGTTTTCGATCAACATGCTGTTCAAATCCGGTAGCACCTAAATCTCCCCACATGATATAACTAATTCCAACTGATTCAATACAATCCCCATGCCCCATGGACAGTCCCACTTTGAGACATGTTGAGCTAAATTCAACGATCACCTACATGTTCCAACATGCACAACCAATCTCTTAACTCACAACCCCAGAGCTAACCTCCAAAATAAATGTATCTTCCACTAGTTATATTCCTCCCAACACATGTTTGCATCAACAACACCGCTTCTTATCCTTCCGTATGACTTGTGCAATAACATCACACCTGTCTTATAAGCGTTCCAAACCACGCTGGCATCCTACCACATCCACACAACAAATCGCGATACAATACCGTCACATGCTACACTACTCACCACTTTCACTCCAACCAAACTTCTTCCACCAAACCCGCCGATACACAGATCTTCCCTAAAACATCACGTGTTTCCAATGATTCCTTCTCAATCCCCATTACAACTCATTCTTAAATAGGTTCTACTAACCGGACTACCTCCACCACACCTTGCGCTCGTTGCCAAACATGTGCAACAATGTCAATTCAAACCACAACGGATGTCCAAACACTGGGGCCCTCTTCAAAAGATGTGCATATTCCTCTTCTTGGACCACGACTGAACATTACACTTACACCAACCTCACTCTCTGATAATGAACATCAATCTCTGACAAACAAAGCAACATCTGGGTAGATAACAACCAATACCCAAGGGTGCTACGCAGCACAGCTAGCTCTAATTGCCAAGGATGCACACACCCAGACCAGCATGCACCATGTAATTGCGTACTGGTGTACATCGATTCAAAATTGAAAAAAAGAACTCGTAGAAGTCATACACATGAATCGTGTCACAATGCACCTGCACAAGAAGTCAATCCAGCACTGCGAAAAATTGCATAAAACATCCCACATAATACAAACCCTCCACAACGAAAATTACAGCTAAATATTTCAGAAGTCCTATGGTCCATTCTTTACAGAGTTAGATCAACTAGAACTACCTAACAATATTCAATCCTATCTACTCGCTGTGATACACCCCAACCCACAAGAGCACACCAACCCCCAAGTTTTCAGCCTCAACAAATATCCAAACCAACACTGCTCCATGCCGACCACTTCGTGGACCATCCCCGCCATTTTGAGCCTGCGCTTCGCTCAAGCCCTTCCAATATTCCATGCACCTACATTTTCCACCTTACCTATCAAAATTTTCCCTCCTAACCCCATCCCTTCTTTCGCTCCACCCACGCATGCCGCACGCTTCACATCCGGCCCTCGCAACTCTCACACCTCCACTCCCCCGTAACAACCATGCTTACCACCTCCTGTGCTTGTGCGTCACAACGCAACCCCAGAATACCAACAGGGAGCGACTCTTCTTATTCCTAAAACCAGTGCCGTACTTTACAAACCCGCAAACTCATCAACATCACTCCTGCCGTCCACTGGCCTCACCTAACCATTCTACCCACACCTAAGCCGACTATCAAATCCACGCCAAAGAACCCCGATCATTTCCCCCTTGTGGCCGCCCTCGAGTGGGTGTCGGCGGCCTTTGCACATTCAACTCCTGCCAGTTCCAAGCCACACCACACTCTCAGACCATACGACCCTCACTCAAAACACCACGCCCCATCATCCACTCAATACGCGCACCACCTCCCATAAAACTCGCCTCACCATGCCCCCTGCCCACATAACATCAACCTCCACATCCCTTCCATGCCACCAGCACTCACAAACATAACCACCATGCACACAAAGATAATACCGCTCAACCCCATGCTATCCTCACCAAACATCACCTCTTCTCATCACTCCACCAACAAACTCAGACCCTCAACATTCCACCACACACAAATACCTGCATCCACGTGTCATCCACATGCCGCTCTGGTGACGATTCAGGAGACGTGATGGCAGGAGGGATGGGATGTATCAGCTTCGGCACCACCACCAAGTCCCTTCCTAACACCAGGATTGCCCCCGCATTGTTCGCAGTCCCTGACATCCACCACAAACAACACTCCAATCATCCACTCAACACCTCGAGCTCAACTTCACTCACCGCACTCCCATCACTCATTCCGCCCCTTTCACACCGCCACCCCACTACTTCCCACAACTCCCAACCCACCACCACACTTGCACCACTTCCCAAACATCCCCCAGGCTCCACGTCCTCGCAACTTCCCACCTTCGAACCCACACCGCCATTGCAAACCCATCCACTTTCTGACCTCCTCCATCCCTCCAACTTCCCAACCTCCACACTCACCACAGTAATTTGTGGCCGAGAACAAAGTTATCAGGTGCCCTTGCGCGAACCGCTCGAACCCGTCCATCACGCACTCGTGTGCACGCACGATCAGCTGAAGATCGTTGTTCTTACAAAACTCCAGCACCCGATCCGGCTGCCACATACCACATCATCGCTCAGATCCGCCACACCCAGTTCCACTCTTCCCCATGCCACACCTATCATCCCCACTCCATGCCCCGCTACCCATCACCGCTTTCCACAAATGTAACCCCCCGCGCCCACCAACACCGCACCTCCAACTTACCCCAAACGTCACCAGCCCTGGGCCCCGCGCGTTCGGTCGCAGCCCCTCCACGCTGTCGTTCTCTGTTGGGTCCGACCTGCAACAATCATCCCTCACATCAGCACCACCCACATCCTTCCGTGCGTCTCTCTACCTCCACTCTCTCCTAGCGTTCGACTCGCCTTCTCTCCAAATAACAACATCCTTCTATCACAACACACCCCCACTACGCACGACAACAACGCTCCGGAGATA